GTGAAAACTAGCTTCCACTAAGCCTCAACACTATTTTTTCCCTTAAAGTATTAAACTGCATGGAGAGTTCTAAAACCCAAGCTTGAATATCTTCCAAAAAGCATTCAGGACTTTCCTATATGCACTGACTTTTCAAAGGTATGGATAAATGGACCAGCAGCATGTTGTATATCTGAAGCAGCTGCTTAGATGTTTGTGTGCTTTTACTTTGAATCGTACTAAGAATTTAAAGAATGTTGACCTGTTTGAGTCCAATGGCTATTAATACATTCTAAACCTTTCTTTGTTGGTAGCTGACCCAAACAGTGAATATGAGAAGATAGAATTTGTGAACTTGGTGCTGCTTTTCTGTGAATTTATACGGCATGACGTTTTTTCTCATGATGCCTATATGTGCACTCTAATATCGCGTGGAGACTTATCTGTCACTGCAGCCTCTAGAGCACGCTCACCAACTGGGGAAAACATGGAGGAACGGTATGCCAGGGAACAAGATGTGAAACTTGAGGTGAGAAGCTTGTGATATTGTTTCTTTGCTCCATCTAGGTAAAAAACAAAGGATGCTATTCACCCTGCACACTAAAAAATCTTAACTATGCTATCCAGATAGCTTCTTTTTGTATTTTGTGTGCATCCTAATATAACCCATCAAATGGGGCACAGTTTTCTCATTATATTGTAGAGGGACCCTCTCCTATACTATCAGGATTATGTGAGCTGCTAGTATTGTTAAAGATGAACAGTATAGGCATCTTTCATGTGGGCATGTGTAACCTTGAAGATGGGGGATGGAGTTTCCCTGCAATAGTTCCCATGCCGCCAGCGTCATATGAGCAGGGGACCTATGCATGCCACACGCTCTGTGCTTCTAATTATTGACATATATTTTCATGTTCCCAGCTTTTGCCAGTAAACAAAGTAATAACTTTATGTGTATGCAGATTCTGTCACATTAAACTTAAAAGGTAGTTTTTGGATCAGTAGGGTCCAGGATGGCAAAAGTGAATGAACGAAAATTCCAGTTGCATGTGCAATCTGATGGACGCTGCTGTATCTCTGCTCTGCTCTGCTCTATGCAGCTCTGCTGTATCAAGGTCCCTTTGTTTACTGAAGCTGATAATAGAAGAGGCCACTTCTCCAGTATTTTATCAGTGTAAAATGTAATGGAATTTATGGGAAAAATATATACTGCTTTAAGTTTGAGTTGTATTTCCTTCTCAACTTCCATGGCTCTTTCCCCAAACACAAACGGGAAAAATTCAGTGGAACCCTTCCATCAGTGGAATGGACATGATTTACCTCTTTCCCTGCAGCTCCTCAAGTTACCATACACTTTTCTCTAGTGATATGGAGAGGGAAGGGAAATTCCATTGTGTGAGTGAAGTTGGATACTGCTGATTATTTAAAAGATCTGTTTCCATTTTTTATTTCTGCAAGGTTCCATTGCAGCAGCAGCAGAAGCACAACTGCCTGCTAACATTGGCTCTATAGATCAATTGCAATATATAATGCCTTAAAATATTTAGTGATGCCAAGATGGTTTTGCTGCAGCCTTTCTTTATGACTGATACCATAGCAAAAGCAGACATTTCCTTGGAGATTACTGTAAACAAAACAAGCAGGTTATCTCCTTGAGTGGAGTTGTTGGAGCTTGTTATCTTTTATTGATTTATTTGTTTGTTTATTTATGACATTAAAAAAGGAACATGAAATGTGCTGCAAGCAGAAATGACTCATTTAATCTAAGGACTAAATTGTATTTTTACATCTTAAACTGTCTGGTTTTATTTTGATAATGTGTGGCTAATCAGGCAGGACTTACATCATACTCTGACTGGTATTTCTTTTTCTCCTTGGTAATCATTAGGAGCATAGTATTATGGAACATATGTACATTGACTCTGGAACTACTAATATTTTTGATGACGTAGACAAGAATGACTTTAAGACAGACTTTGGTTCGGAATTTCCAGTAGGTTTAACTTCTGGCTTTTATTTTTATTTTAAAAAGACCCCATTCTTCATTTTGCTACATAAACCAGCATGTTCTGACACTTGGAACACTCTAACAAAATATCTTCTGCATTTGATTTAGCATTACCAGAGTATCTCACTTATTGGTCACTCCATGGTCAACTTTCCTTCTTTGAAACAGCATCATATTATTAGGTTTACAAAAGCTGCCTCATCTTTTTCCACTGTGGTACCTTTAACGCCACGTTCACTGCATTCAAAATGTCACTTTCATGAATACATCATGAGTACCCAAGCATGACTTCATATCCTTTACACTTACTCCAGCCCTTGCATTCAACAATTTTGCTGCTCCAAATGCTAACATATTGTTCTGATATTGTTGGTTTTTGCCTTTATTTGTTCAGGTGGTGTGGAAGGCTAGGATAGCTACAGCAGTGTATTATCACAGTAAGCATTCACGATGACAGGATCCTAAAGAGAAGTTTTCTGACCGTTGTGTAATCCCTTGATGTGAGCACCATTGAATAGTCAGTCATCAGTGGCCAGAAGGAAAATAATTTCCTAGAGATTTATGTTCCTCCACAGTGTAAACACTGTGGAAAACATTTTAAATCAAACCACATCAGATTTCTGTGATCTATTATAAAATAATAGTATGCACCTGATCTTGCTAACATCAGAAGCAGGGGTAGAAAAATAGCACTGAAGCACTGGAATATCTATGTTCTTGAAAAATTTCTTCATACCACCACCCAAGCTCATTTACACTTATGTGGGACTTCGGGATAATTTCACCACTTAGGGAGCATTCCAATTTAATGTGACATGCTATTTTAGGCATTTAGATCAATGCACCATGAAATGATTGAAGATGTTATCACTTGAAGTGAAAATGTGCAGTGAAGTAACAGGCTCTCTAAATCTACCCTGAATTTCCTTATCACTGATAATTTGTCTTACTAACAGATGCATGTTCATTTAACCAAGCCTAATTTTCTGTAACAACTATGCCATCTTTACCTGAAAGACAGGACAAGTGGATACGTAGCTTGTGTTTTGCTAGCATTAGTGGCAATTCTCATGTACTTGAGGCCCTTACATCCAGGGCCATTTTCTCCCTGAATTAGGGTTAGGGTTAAAGTCCAGATTAGGATTAGGGTTAGCAAGAAGAGGCTTCCCTCTGTGGTACAGGGGCCTGAGATGTGTTCAGAGTGGCCACAAGGAAAGAGAGGGCCCAAAAAATCCCACTCAACCACAACTGTTGAAAATCCACCTTGGATGCATGGGCATTCCAAGGCCCAGGAGGGCCAGGTGAGAACAGGTCCAGAGTAGGGTTAGGGTCAGAACAACTGAGATCTTCTCTGTATCCCAGGATCTTTGGAGAACTTCGGAGGGAACAGAAAACCTCAACTTTACATCCAAGTCTAGAAGTATTCTATTTGCTCTCTTTTCATCTATCCTTCATCCCAGGAGCTATATTCAGGAACAGGGGTGTGTTTGATTTAACAAAGCACACAAAGTTGGTTTGGTCCCAAAGAAAAAAGTATTAGAAGATAAAATTGCCTGAAATTTTAATCTCTTGCTATTTACAAATAAAGGATTCTGCTGCATATTTACTATTGATTACTAATAATCACACCCTAATAAACATCTGGTGAAAACAAATAAAAATGGGTTAGTGATTTCCTATTTCAAGTCAAATAGATCTTGTTTTCATTGGCATATATCAGCAGTACCTCTTCTGGGGTAAAAAGAAGTTTGTAAAATATAACTGTTAACAGTAATTAAATACAGAATTGGTCATTCCATAAATTACATGGATATTCCCACTTACAGTATTAAATGTTTATTTTTACATGGCTTAGATTTTTTCTCCAATGCCTGGGGAATCTTGTGAGAATTTGAATTCCATATCCATACTAGACAGAAGAATCACAATGAACAATGAAAAGTCTACAAAGAGGGAAAAAGGGAGGGAGTTGATCTTCCCATCAAACTACAATCTTCTTCGCCATTTGCAATATGCAACACATTTTCCTATACCCCTGGTAAGTAGCCATTTTTCATCTTTGAAAAGTTGATGTCAGTTTACACATGTGCAGCCTGATTCTATGATGTTTACTAGGAAGTATGTTCTGCTAACTTCAATGGCTTGTTTGCAGCTAAGTATGCTTTGGACTATAAGCATAATCCATAATGTAACTGAACAGGGGTTCTTTCTTTGGCTCACATCATATTGCTACATCTCTCTGAAGCAGTAAAAGTTCAATTTAGTTTAACTAAGGCTTATTCTGTTACAAGCATCATTAATCAGTTGGGATTTATATTCCTGGATTATTTCTAAAATGATTAAATATGTGCATAATATGTGCACAATATTTCTCAGCTATATCATGCTCATCAAAGAGATTTTAATGTTAATTGTATCCTTTCAGTTGTGGGGTGAGAAAGGATAGTCATTTTTCTATGCTGATCAAACCTTTTTGGTCTGTTGACATGATTGTGGAGCTGGAGATGAGCCATCAACAGGCTCTGTCCTTCCCTTGCAATTGCATCAGAACAAGAAAACCAGGATGCCAAAGCCCAGGGAGTTACTAATTAAGTGGGATGCTGTGAGAGTGAGACTCTGTGGCTGATGGGTAAATGTTCTTAGTTCTTAACATGCTGACTGAATAAAAGGGTGATGTCTTAATTTTGAAGACTGTTTGGTTTCTTTGGATGGCAGTTGAAGCGTTTGTTAATCACACAGGCCTTCTAATGTGTTTCACCTATTTTCTTCATGTGCATTTCTTATACTACTTTGTGTTGTATTTTAAATTTTTTTTTTACTATTTAATTCTAAGCCACTCAGATTTTACTGAAAACTGAAGGGTGGGATAAGCATTTAACAACAACAACAACACTTTTAACACTAAAACTTAAGTCTGTGCATCCACTTTTTGCAACCAAAAAACTCTGAAATCAACCTGCTCAAAAAAGGATCAAACATGCCACATTATGTGATTGAGTAAGGGGGCAGATAGTGAAAGAATTCTCACTTTTTATTAAACACTTCAGAGACAAAACACAGTACATCCTGCTGACACTTGTATAACAAAATTATACACTGCAATAGCAACTTGCACGAAATATATTATCTGTGGTATCACTCATTTCCCCTGGTACACAGTGTGTCACTTGGCTCAGGAAATGATATGCTTCTGTAAACAAACTGCTACCTGAGTGAAAGATGTGGGGACTGTGCATAAAAACTGGGAGACAAAAGTCTTTTTAAAGAGCACAAAATTGATCATCTGGAAGGGCCCCCAACCTCTCAAGTGAAGCATCAAAGAGCTGTGTCTGTTCTCCATGCTGTATCTGATCATTTGGGAGCACATTCCTGTCTTTAGATGATCCAAATGTCTTAGTCACTTTCAGTCTAAATGTCTTTGAAAGGTAAAAATACAAAATAGGGTCAAAACACAGATTAGACACACCAAACAGTAATGTTGATTCTTTTGCTTTAAAGAGGGATTGTTTGAGAGAGCAGTCTGTGGTTATAGCTTTGCTTTGGCTCAGTGTATACGGGATCCGAACAATATGGTACGGAAGAAAGCATATGATGTAGCTTGCAGTTACTATAAGTATGTTCACCATAGCTTTTTTTACATTTTCGTAGCTGTCATTGTATTTGTTTTGATAGAGTAGTCTGATCACCAGGCAGTTAGAAATTAGAACCATGGCTGAACAATTTAGAAATATTACAGAACATATGAAATTGGTGAACAGATGCCAATCTCTTCCCACTTCTGTTTTGAAATCGATACAGCCTACAGTTGGTGATTCTTTGATTTCCTTGATTGGAATTGCCATGTTTGGCACCATGAAAAAGAGAACTAATGTCCATACTACTACTGATATCATCTTGGCAAAACCAGGTTCCTGGATGCGATAGATTTTGCTCTGGTGTATTAATTGAAGGCAACGGTCCATGCTTACAAATCCCAAGAAGATGATTGATAAGTACATGTTGGTATATATCAGGCAAGCTGTAACTTGACAGTGGAATATTTTCAGTTTCCAGGGTGCAACACCTAAGTCAATAATGATTTTCACAGGCAAAGCAAGGGTTAGCAAAAAATCTGCTGTTAGAAGGTTAAGTAAGTAGACATTCATACTTTTGTGATTCCGCTTTGTGTTTTTGAACGTCCAAAGAGCAAAGCAGCTTCCGATGAACCCAACAAGGAAGATCAAGTAATAAAAATAAGGAAATGCCTCCATTTCAGAGTAAACATTGCAATTTGTGGAATTTGTTAGGGGCATCTTAATCGCCTTTCAGGAGTGGTAAATGCGTGTGTTGCTCAAAGAACCAAAACCTGTGGGTACAGAATAAAAAGAAAGGAATAAAACAGAATGATTTTCCCTGAACCTTTTTAGAGTAAAAGATCATCATGATTTAAGTTCTGCCATGATTTGATAGAATATATAAAGTTTTTAGAAAGCTCTACAGCATCTTCACATCTCAGATTTCTGTAGTCATCTTGAGGAATAGAAAGATAGATAAATATTCAGAGCAACCCTCAGAGTGAATGATAACATAAAACAAAGAAATAAAAATACAGCACGAAGGAGAAAAGGAACCTTCTCCAACAAGCAGTAAAGGTCTGGCGAAACAGCAGTTCTCAGCAGTTTCACTCTCTCAGATATGAATTCTATAACTGAGGTGTTGCTGCAGAAAAGTCCCTGTTTTTATGCTCATTGCTCTAGTCTTGGTGCTAGGAGTCACAAAGGGCCTCTGATGAAGACTGCAGGTTACAGGCAGGATTGATTATATGGAAGAAGGTGTTTCACATTTCTTGGCTCCAAACTGTTTAGGGCTCATATGTCAAAGCTAGCAACCTGAAGTGAGAAGCAAATTGGAAATCAGTGTAGTTGGTTCAGGACTGTTCTTATATGACAGAAGTGCTGCACGTCCAGCCCAGCCTAGTTCATGGCTTATTGCAAGCCAGCAGATGCAGGCAGGACAAGGAGCCTACTGAAGGAATTCTATTGGAGGCCACACTCTTGCTCTATCGCTGATCCCAGATTGAAGATAACAGTGGATTTTTTTCTGTTACTGCATCCCACCAGAAAAACCGCTGCTCTTATTTCCATTTGGAGGTTCTGTGCATGTTGGAAGTTACCTGCACTGGGGAAAGCAACTTCTTTGCCCATGTGTGGGTAGTTCTTCTCTGCTTAGCCCACTCCACCTTCTTCCTGCAACAGAGGAAGGAGATGGGGCAATGAAGTGGCTGAGTTCCTGTTTGCTGCCCTGTTAGAGAAACAAAGGAGACCCAAGATTGTTCACCATTGTTATTCATTCCCTTTCTATACTGCCTGTAGCTGAGGCTCTCCGGCCGTTTACAACCTTAAGCCATCCATCCAGATTTCAACCAGGCCCATCCTTGCGTAGCTTAGGCAGGATCAGGCATTTCAGGCTACTCAGACTCCTCCCCTTCGTAGTGCTTCCCCCTTTCTCCATTGTTGAAGGAGGTGGGAGAGTGGCAAAGGAACTCTGCCACTTTTCCTTCTTATACCCTGCCTCCTTTCCATGCTCTGAAAAGGAGGCAGGTCATTCAAAGAATGGGCAGAACCAACCAAGCCCATATTGCTCCTCCACTGGCCCCTAGCTGGGCCCTCCATAGAGCCGTGCTCCTGGGCCAGGCACTGGGTGGAAGATTCACATAGTACTTGGGCCAGAGAGCCGATGAAGTTGGATGTGGCCATGTAAAGTGACAGCAGGAGCATGGCCACATCCACCTGATGAGGTACAACCTAGGGAAGGCTGGGTTAGCATCACTGAGCTCCACACCCCAAATTATATGGGATATAAAACACATGTGAAGCAATAATCCCACCATGGCAGTTTCCAAACGCTTTTCAAGAGCAGCCGCCCCTGAAGTGGAACATGTATAATCTAAAGAAGTAGCTGCGGCTAGATGAACCTTCCACAAGGAGGACATTCCTGGCCAGAGTAGCCTCCTGGGTCTCTAGGAGCTATACCATGTCCACACACTCCCCACAAGCATCACATGATGCTGAATGCTACTGAGGGTGAACCAAGAGCTCTCCAGTTCCTAGTGCTGGCCATCCAACAGGGCAGTTTCTGTTGTTTCTGTCCCCAAACCAGACCTGCCCAGACTGGAAGGGGACTGCCTTCACCCAGGAAAGCTGGATGTTGTGCCACCATTACTTGTATGAGGACTTTGCTTTAAAAGGAAGCTTAGAACTAGGGAGTGGGGTGGAGTTAAAGCTACATAGGAAAACCTAGGTAAGGGTACATAGGAAAACTCTTGCAGCCACTTAATTTAGAGGACCTGGAACACAATCTCTTTTCAAAAAAGAATTTACAATCTCTTTCAACCAATTGGTCAGCCTTCCTCTGACAGTTCTTAGCCAGGATGGACATGGGCTAATGAAACAGTGGTGGTTTCATTTCTCCAAGCAGCTTTCCATCATCCACAGAGTGAACAAACTGAATCTCATCCATCAAAACTGCACAAGTGCTTGCTTCAGTTATTTCAATAGACTCTACTCCCACTGTGGAGTCCCAGCTGCAGCAGATAAGAGCAAGTTTATCAGCAAATCCATCATAGTGGGTTTCTGAGGCTCTACTTCACTATCCTTACCTCCTTACCACCATGTCACAAAATGGGCATGTTCTAGTGGATTCATCCAAAGTCTTTCTCAACCATCACTCATGTCATCTACCTAAACCATCAAACCTAGTAGTTTCCTATTGAAACTTATTGCATGGGTTGTATGTGGTTTTAAGAGCTTTTAATTAAGAATCAGTGGAGGATCTGCGGACACACTGCTTGCTAAGATTTTGTGTGTTGATAACCAAATGTTCTGTAAAACTTATCTGTGTTGTAGCAGTACTGCTATTAACCATCGCAAGAGTGTGCACACTGAAGAGGAAATGGTTATATTAAATATTCTAAGAAAAGAAAGCGATGTAATGGTTCACAACTGAAAGACACGCAATCTTGAGCTTCCATTTAGTGTATTATACAGATATCTGTAGTACCCATCCTATTATTTACTGTTCAGGGTTTCTTGGTGGAGAGCTAGGATAAATGTTGCTTGAATTGTAAATATGTGCAATCAGTTTTAAAGTAATAGTCTTGAAATATGTGTGAATATATGCATATGACACCATTTTATGGATTGAAATAATAAAGTAGATATGGAAAGGTGGGATTAAATGGGCATAACTTTAATGAAGGAACCTTATTTATAGAACTAGTTCCTGAGACCAGTGCTGTGATAAAGACCATTAGAGCCACTGGCAACAGATCCTAGCTAAATCAAACTGTCAGTACTAGAAACAATTAGCCCTCCTTTGTAAGCTGTATTGGTCCTCTTGTTATCTGATCACACTCAGTGTTCACTTTCACTTGGTGTTCTTTGTTAGCTCTTCTGCCAAAATTATGATTAAAAAATTAACAAAAACACAACCAAAACAGAAAAAGTAACATTCTCATCAACCTGGACCACACCCAGGAGAGGAGGCAAACATGGCAGCCCAGCAACCATGAATGTTACTGAAAAAACAACAACCCAACCCAGTTCCTCAGCCCCCCTCAAAAGAAAAATTGACAGGCTAATGCCCATGGTGCCCTATCATCTTTCCATCTATAATGGGTGGGTTGTTCCACCTCATTCCTTAGTAGAAACCATTCTGAGTGGGAACTGCATCAGATTGAAAAAGCTCTTGGGAGAGATGAAGGCAAATTCCCTGCCTCAGATCTCTTTCCCCGTGTCTCTGCAAAATATACCCTGCTGAACAGCATCTTTCAGGGAGTGATTATAATGATGAATCACATGGGTCTGATCGAGAAAAGACTTCTAGATCACTGGAATGGAATCTTCGATGATTACTCTCATTCTGAATGCGTGGAATTTTTAGGACTGAACTACATATGAGATAGGAGATTAGTAATTAGTTCTCTCTCTCTCTCAGTTTCACACACATACACACACGAGGAAGAATGACTGCTTTGTGGGAAAAAGAACCAAACTGGGATGGGCATCTTCTAGATGTTGCTGGACTATAGCTCCCATCTTTTCTCACCATTGGCTGTGCTGGCTAGGGCTAATGAGTATTGCAGTACAGCAACATCTGGAGAGCCACATATATCCCTCTCCTGTTCTAAGTGCGTTACTTGGATCTTCTCACTCCGAAAAGTGAAAATTGGCTCCATTGCTTCATGTGATTAGATTGTAGTCACAGGACTGCGGGCAAAGGTTGGTCTCTTTGCCCTGATGATGAATTCGGAGTTTAACATTATATACTTATTTAGTACATTTCTATTGCATGCAATAATAATCTCTGGACAGAATACAACGAGTTAAAACAATGAAAAGCCATTTTAAAACACAGTTAAAAATATAAAATGCATCTGGTATTTCAACTAGTGGCTATAAAGTTAGTTCCTTCCTTTAAAACTCAGTAACTAACCTGAATACACTGCTAAGGAGGCTTATTGATCCAGTAAAACTGGTCCTATTTTGTAACATTACAATTACCCACAGGAAAATTAGTAGGATGCTTCCTGGCAGATTGCTTCTAGTGTTAGCAGAAGAAAGAAATTGTGTTTCTATTTTTGTTATTTCCTTATTTTCACAGTGACTGCCATACTTTCTTCATAGGAGTAATCATTCCTTGGTTGTAAATACTGACAAGCTACAAAGCCTGTATTTTCTGTTTGCACAAATAACAGTCATGGTAAACATTTAAAAAAGAATACATACCTTTATCAACTGCTGCAATCTTAGAACCATTGAAGGTTTCAGTTAAATGTTCTCTTTAGTGCTGTCAAGTGAGTTCTTTGCCCAGTGACATGCGATCATGTCTTCATCTGTGCGACTGTTCTGTTGGAGTCCTTCCTCTTTATTTAGTAGGTAGCTTGTAAAAGAAAGAATTTCTTGTGGCTTTCAGAATTCGCCAAATGACGTATATGAAACCAGAAATGACTCAAAAGGTGTTTGTGTGTGCGGCGCATGCATCTGTGCAAGTTTTTCATGAACAGTTAAAAAAAAAGTTCAAAGTGTATGCTGTGGAATATCACTTTTTCCATGACAAAAAAGAAAAGTAAAATTGCTTCAAGGAACTTGTCAGGCTATTATTTTCTGTTGGGGTAAGTGATCTATAATAAATCTGTGTTGGTGGGAGACAAGGAATTTGGGAGAATGAACTTTTGGGAGAAGGGGATAATAGGAAACTTATATTGAGAAATTAAGTTTTGCAAGATTAAATAATTTTATTTATTTATTTAGAAAATTTCTATGCCACCCCATTCGCCGAAGCCTCGGGGTGGCTCACAAATATATCAATTAAAATATTGGCAGGTATCTGGATAGAAAATGATTACATGGAAATAGTCTTGGTACACATGTAATAGAAAAGTTGGGCTTGAGTTTGTTTATTGCATGAGAATATAGTTAGATGCCCATTGATTCCAACCAGGTCCAAATGAGAAGTTGAAGGGGCAGCAGGGGAGAGAAACCATCCAATGCATGGTATTACAGCAAAACAGAACAGTGTGGTGGTACGGCATATCATCATCACCATCACTGTCCTCATCACTTTACATTTATATCCTGTTAGCCTTCCTCTTGCACAGGAGCTAATGCAACTTAGAAGGTTCTCCTTCTCTATTTTACCTTCACAACAACCTGTTGAGGCAGGTTAGGTTGACAGTCCTTGACTGGCCACGTCACCCAGTGAGTTTCGTGGCTGAGTAGGGGCTAGCATGTCGGTCTCCCAAGTCCTAGTCAAGCACTCTAACCACCACTCTCACACTGGTATCGTGGTTAGAATGTTGAGTTAGGACTTGGGTGACCAAAGTATTAACCTCCAGTTTGCCATGAATAAAAAACTGGGGTTAAGGATATATAAGATTCAAACCTCACCAGTGTCTTGTGCTCATTTTGCATCTTTAGGTAAGCAGTTTGTACTAGGTTTGGACAACTGAATAAACTATACTTGAGTTTGAGTTTAATGTGGGGTGTTGGTGAACTGTGGGTTGTGGCCGAACCATCAGCTACCATGAAATCTGAATCTAACTGTGAAAACAAACCACAAGCAATCCACAGTTCACAAGCCAACCAAAACAAACAAACATGGCTTTGTTAGCAAGTCTGAGTTCAGACAACATGATGACATGGTTCAGTGGTGACCCAATTCAACCCACACTCAACCCCTGAGTTTGTGTTGTCTGAATCCAGTTCTAGTATGGTTTTATAGCAGTGGCCACCCACTTGCCACTGGAAAGCTCACAGACAGGGCATGAAGCCACATCGTTATGCTGTGGGGTGGCTATTTGCTCAGTGGTCCCAGAGTCATGCTGCAGAGGGGCCATTTGGTTACTGGGTCCCAAGTACAAGTCCCCTTGTTCTAATGTCTGATTCTCATTGTGAACATTTGACTCTTTCTCGTGAGTCGACGTCTCTGTCGAGCCGTCAGGCACGACACTCAAAGATATTGATGTTTGGGGTTTATCGGACTTGCAGTCTACCAATTCTGGAAGGCACCAGATTAGTGAAGGGTGCAAAACTATGCATTTACAGAAACACTGACTAGTCTTTGTGTCTTCAGTTGGCTTCATTCCCTGCTGTTCCCTGCTGCTGTGAGAAGTTGCAAATATATTCACTCTAAATTGTCACTTGTAAGGCAAAAGCAGATTGCTGGATCTGTAATCATAAGTACACCTGGAACCTGTTGCTTTGAGGTTACTTTTTATAAATATTTACTCATCAGAAAATCGAGTGTTAGTTTTAAGTCAAAGTTGTGGGGGCACTGCTTTATTTGAAGACACTTTGTTTCCAAAGATAATGAGGCAGATGGGAAATATTTTCTCTTGGAGAAACTCTGAAATACACTTGCAACTACTCTGATATGTGATGCTTATCAACAGTATATTTAAAATAGTTTTTAAATGACTTTTCTGGAAAAAATACTCAATTAGATACAAATTCAGACATATATTACTTATGTCTGCACGTGTTTTAATGACACGTATATTAATAAAATGCAGGAACCAATAAAATATTCCTTTCACTCAATATGCAAATCTGTATGTAAATATGTAAATCTCTCTTCTGGTGCAAGCAAAATATAAATCAGGCCATGTCCTCGTATCTGTAGATTACCAGTGCTTAGTAGGCAGTGCAAGCCAATCTTCATTGCAGACATCAGATTCAAGAAACTTTGCCATATGTTGCACATATCTAAATGGATTTGTCCCTGAATAATGAATTTACACATTTGCCTTTGTGCAAAAAATGTTTATGCCAAAAATAAAACAAAACAAAACAAAATAAAATCCAAGTCAGAGGCTTATAAGCATGCACTGCAGAGCGATAGCAATTTTGTTCTTCTAAATGAGGCTGGAGCAGAATCATGCCTTCTTGTATTCTGGCAGCCACTGTCTCTTCCCCATCCCCCAAAATATGCTTTTCTGACATTGCAGAGGCAGCTGGCACAGCTCTCTTTTACCATTTCTGAGTGGAAGTGGGAGGCGGGATCACAGCACGGATCCCAGCTTTGATGATGGCGCCTTGTCTTTGACTTCAAATCTGGGGATCCAAATTATCCCATGGTCCTCTAGATGCTGTCCAGAGACACTCAGCTTTTTAAACTGCCTGGTGTACAAATGTTTCCTTGATCTAACCAACCCAGTGTTTCCTCAAATATTGTAAATAGCTTACTCTTAAGAATTTATGAAATAACAACTGTTTCACAAATCGCATTTGATTTCCTTGACCTAGAGTTCTCAAATTCTTCAGATGTCTTCAACTTGAGGTGCAATTTTTGGTACAATCTTTCCTTGAAAGGTTGGCAAAGGAAGACATAAATAATAGGATCTAGGCAAACATTTGCAGCTGACAGTAGCAGAGCGAGTTCTTTTATGTAAAACAGAATTTCCTGTATTTTGCAGTTGTATTGTGCAGTGGTTTGACTCATTGTGTATGGAATTCTACCAATGTGGTATGGAACAAAACAGATGATGAATACAAGCATTATTGTGAAAATATTTCGATTGGTTTTTCTTTTTGTCTGCCTGGAATTTTTTCTGAATTTCCGATGGGAAATAAATATCTTCCTTGCTATGCAACTGTAGAAGACTATTAAGAGAACAAATACAATCCAAAAAATTGCTAGACACACATAGGTTGAAACTTGGTGCCACTGGACTCCAAGGTTACTTTTGAGCACCATGCATTTCTTTGACAATGCTTTAGTAGGGGTTTTATCAGTTAGAATAGTGTTGGGAAGTGATATAAGCATTTGTAGTACCCACATGGCAGCACATAATATTTTGCTACACCGAATGGCATGACTCGAAGCCATGAACTGAGGTTTGACCACTTTGTAGCATCTGTCAAAGCCTATGAGTCCAAACAATGATATACTGATATACATATTTAAGTAAAAAATAACAGCAGAAAATCGGCAGACAACGACATTGAGCTGCCAAGGTCCAAACTCTGAATCAGCCAAAATTTTAAATGGGAAGGTTAAGCTCATGATGAGGTCAGCAATGACTATGTTCTTGAGATAGACGATAAAGCTTGTCTTGCTAGGAATGTGCAAGAACACCCAGGCTGCAACTCCATTTAACAGGATTCCTCCAAGAAAGATGATCCCATAGGCCAATGGAAGGACTTGCTTTTGTATTATTTCACTGTAAATGCAGTAGTTTCCTGAAGTGCTGCTTGAATTGGTCATTTCTACAATTTCAGTTCCTATAAATAGAGAAAAGAAAAAGGCAACTTGTAAGAATTTTTGTTTCTGTCATCTTGTCTTCAAGATAACAAAGTAATCTTGCTGGAGCATAGACTTCTCCAAGCCGATTCCCTCTAGATGAGCTGTTCACCACTTCTGAAAGGGCACCAAGCTGGGGAAGGATGTAGCAGTACAGAAATAAAGGCCAAATGAAGTATTTTGGAATATTGCTTCTCGGGCTAATCAAATGCATATATAGTGAATTATTTTTGCAAGAACTCTGTGTAACTGTTTTAACCTCAGGGACCTGGTCCAACCAAGGTTCTTCATTTCAGATCTGAGGACACTTAGAAAGAAATTAAACAGCCTATGTTAAAGATGGCATACAGTTTATTGAATGCAGGATATAAGCAAGCAAAAGAGAACTTAGCCTCTGACTCTGGCTGTATTGGTTCCTTGAACAGGCCAGGAGATGTAGTTTGGGCTGGCGAAGTTGCTTGGTGAGTGACACATCAATTCCCTTCCTCAAACTAAGAACAAAAGATAACACTTCTTGCCATGGATTTTACAGAATTCCTCTTTTCCACTGTTTCAGAAGCTGTGGGCGCTCACTCCACTTTGTAGGGTCAGAAGAGAGACAAAGCTATTTTACTAAGGCAAACAGTTTCATTCTGGCAGCAAAAGCAGCCTTTATTTACAGTATCGTCTGTGTAAACTACCCAGAGAACTTCAGCTATGGGTCAGTGTAGAAATGAATGAATGAATAAATAAATGATTGGGGAAGGCAGCTTCAAAGGCAAGTATCTCTGGTGCTCTTCCCAACGAGCTGAAAGACATAAGAACTGCAAGAAACTGTATGAAACTATTTGGACTTTTGGACACTGGGAAAGTTCACTTGTTGAACCTTAATAACGTCTTTGCCCTTCTTCCAGCAGCATGCATACAATCCACTGACATTTTATGTTTCTCTCTAGGGAGGCTACTTGGTCCTTTTCCACATGACTGCAATGACAGCTTAATAGAGTGGATCTAGTGGAATGACATGGCCCATTTCAGTCTGGACAGTCGCATTGACTATGGGTGGGGTGTAAAACTAGAAATGTTTAAAAATAATAAAAGCTTGCATTCTATGGTCCTTCTCAACCCAAAAACTCACCCCCAGTTTATGAGACATTACAAGATCCATGCTTATTTTTAAATCATTCCTCAGCTTACATTTGTTCTATATGCATGCACTGATGTTCAGTTGAATTAGCCCCATGTGAAGGTTAAACATAATCAGATAAGAAGAGTCATGCTGGTCAGATGAGGGGTGCATGCAGCCCAGCATTCTGTTCAACAGGGGCCTGCCTGTTCCCCATGGGAACCTCCAAGCATCAGGACCCCCTGCCCATTTTCCCCAGGAACTGAGGTTTATAGGCATGCTACCTCTGATACTGGAGTTAGCATACAGCCAGTCAGTAGCCACTGATAGCCACCTTCTCCATGAATTTCTCCAGTCCCCTTCTTTATGCACACTATCCTAAGATTCCATCTGGAATAAGGATGGTATATAGACATTTTAAATGAAGAAATAAATAAAGTCCTCCAGATTGGTAGTCATCACTACACCTTGTCGAAATGAACTATAGACAGTGCAACTAAGTACGTACTTCTTCTCATCTGTCCTGCATCTCCCACCAGTCAGCTTCATGGAATGACCTGAGGTTCTAGTATTATCGGAGTGGGTAATAATATCTCACTGTTTACCTTTTCCACAATCTGAATAATTTTATATGCCTCTATCATATCTGTCCCTGCTTTTTTCTAAAGTAAACAATCTGAGAGATTGCAACCTTTCTTCATAGAAAAGATGATTCACACCATTGAACACTGGGCAGTTTTTCCCACTCTACTTTTGGGGGGGGGGGGGGGCGAAGGGTTGCAGTTACCAGAACTGGACACTGTATTTTAACTGTGGTTGCACCATCGATTTATATAAGGGCAGTAAGAAATTGGCAGGTTTATTTTAATTTCTCTCCTAATTATGCCTGACATAATATACCTTATTGACAGGGACAATATTTTCATGGAGCTGTCCCTCAGAACCCCAAGATTTATTTCTTTTTTATTCATTACTTGTCATTTATGCATGTCCTCTCAGTTTGGAAATAACCTTTTGGAGTGCCTCACAGTCCCCTGCCATTTTAGTTTTAAGCACCATAATTTTTTTGGTATCATCAGCAAACTTGTCCACTTCAGGGATCACTCCTAATTCCAGAGCATTTAAGGGTAAATTGAAAAGCTTTGTTCCCAGTACATATCCCTGTGGGACTCCATTGCTGGCAACCCCAAATCCTGGGGCACGCCAGAATGTGGATAGGCTCATATTGGTGCTGTCATGCATTTATTCATTGGAGCTCACTGCGTGACTTTGGGCCAGTCACTCATTTTTGGACTGGCCTACCTCAAAAGGTTGTTGTGAAGATAAAAATGGATTTAGGTAAGCTACCTTGGGTTCCTCACAAGGGGACAAAAGGCAGGGTATAAATGTAATGTAATAACAGCAGCAGGAACTAAAACCTTCATGGTCTGCATTCAGCAGATCATGCTGCAGTAACTAACGGCTAATTACTATTGTTAATTGCCACTTTGCTTACCTTAGTGAGTTTTTCTGCACGAGGCTATTAATCTGCTGTATCAGTATTTTAACTTCAGGGACCTGGTTCAGCAAAAGCATTCCACTATAGATTTGAAGATTTTTATTTTGGAAGAAATGAAACTATTTGTGTCAAAGATGATACCGAGATCCAGTTCAGGGTTGAACTATGGATGCATAATGTAAATAAGTAAAAGAAGGCTGATACTCCTCTTTATCTGTGGCCATTTTGGTTTTCTACAGTTACTCTGTGCGTCTCCAAAGTTGCTTGGAGAAGCAGAGGGTCAATTTCCTCAGAGAGAATGAAAGACAGTGCCTTTTGCCATGGGTTTTATGAAGTTTCTCTCTGCCACACAGAGTCTATCAGAATGCACAGCTGTTCCCCCCCCCCCCCCTCCCCCTGGGAGATGGAAGGGCAGGACAAAGCTGCTTCTGCAAGCCTAGAGTTTATTTCTCATAGCAAAAGCAACTCTTATTTACAGAATAACTAGGGAAGTAGCTTCAAACCAATGATTTTGGGTGCTCTTCCTAGCAAACTGGCTTCAGGAAACTGGTTTTAGAACATTGGGAAAGGTCACTATGCTGTCTGTTGAACCTTAGTAACATCCTTCTCCATCATTCTTCTGATAGAGCCCATAAATACAATCTACCTTTGGTTTCATAGGAGAATCTGAGCACTACAGGAAGAGCATTTCCTCTCTTGAATTTCTGTTGCAAAACCTCTAGGTGGCATGCGTGCGCGCACGCGCGCACACACACACACACAGAGTCATATAGCAGAATAACAAATAAAATGCCTTTCGCTTTCACAATGAAATGATGTATTTTCCCTGCTCTTTAAAAAACAAAAAACCTGCTAGAAGTTCACATTAGAGACAGTAATAAAATTGGAAGGTCACAGATTTCTCTAAAGAACCTCAGTGCTTCATGTAAAAAGTCCAGTATTGGCACATTGCTTATTTGCACTTTATTTCATTTGATCTCATTTCCCCCTCTATAACTGCATATAGAGAATAACAACTGAGAATAACATTTCTTGCATTCATTAAAGTGGACTCTAATCATTTAGGGTGCCAACAAGACCACACTGTTTTTTCAAAGGAATCCCAGCCTTCAATAAGTTGGAGAACTATGTTCTCCATCTTAGCATGCACTGGATTGCACTGTTAATGTGCTAGGTATTGTTAGCATTCCTCTGATTATGGAACATCCATTGTAATAGATACAAACATCTCTTCACTTAAAATTAGATTTTTCAAAAGAAGACAAGAATGTGTTAGGAGTTCTAGCACTACATGGCATGCTTTTGATTACATTTGTGTGTATGTGTGTCTCACCTCTTCCAGAAGGATATATTGATTCATGTGCACCATTTATTTTCAAATGTGTCTGACAGACTCCTCCATACCCCATCTCACTTGGAAGAATTGGCTGTTTTTGTGTAGAAGTGCCAATATTGGATCTTTTGCTGGAGTTACTTTTCCTATTTACTTGGGACACTAATGTTCTGGCAAGACTTTCCATTCTAAGGATTACGGGTATGTCTGTGTGCAAAAAGGCAAACATCCTTAGCTGTTACATAATTTCTAGAATGTTAATTTTGGTTAGCATAATGTTAAGCTTCCCTCTTGTTCCAGCTATGAAAGTTAGTCCATGTTGGAATACACTCCAGGAACCATATTAGGGTTTGGATGAACAGGGAAGAATAGAAAAGGAAAGACTGACTTTACATTGATCATTTACATTGGTCTTCATTTTTGTCTTCTGCCTTTTGTAACATTTTTGTATAATGGAAAGAAAAACTTTCACATTTTTAGTGGGTGGGATCTTGAATTGGCCTCATCATGATATGTTATCCTTAGCTACTTCTAGTTTTCTTCTTCTAGTACTTCTAGTTTTCTTATTGTGAACAGGGGCAAAATAACCCACAATATGTTTTTAAGACAGTTAAAGCATCAATGTGCCATGAATATGAAGCTGCAAACCACCAAGTGAGAGCTTTGACTATTGGGTGGTATAGAAACAACAACCAAATTGTGACAACTCTGGATATATTTGAAGCTGTTTTCTTCATACTGCATTTTTTGTACAAGGATGTCTTTTGAAGGGCCATTGCTTGCTTGCTTTCTTAGATCTATATCCTGCCTGCTGTTCTTAGAACTCAAAATGGCTTACATTATTCTCCTTCCACTGCTCTCAATCTTATCCCCACAACAACAACCCTGTGAGGTAGGTTGGGCTGAGAGGCTGTGACTGGCCCAAAGTCACCCAGGTGGCTCCATGGCTGAGTGGAGACTAGAACCCAGATTGTCTGAGTTCCAGTCCCGTACTCTTAACCACTACACCATACTGGCTTTTGGTGGTG